AATGCACTTTTTGGGAAAAAGTAAGTAGTAGTAGTAGTAAAAGTTGATAGTGTTTGGTAAAATAAGTGTTTTTTGTGTAATAGAAAATGTAAAAAGTAGATTTTGTACGGAAGCCGAGAAAAATAAAAGTTGATAGTGTTTGATAAAATAAGTGTTTTTTTAAAGCCACAATCACTTAAATTAAGTGATTGCAAACAAGTCATTGAGCTCTATCTATTCTAAAAAGTGATATGCAATTATTAATAATAAAGAGGTCGGTTTATTATACGTTTAAGCACGTATATGCAATTATTAATAATTTTTTAAACATAAAAATATTATGATAGCTTCTCGGTAAACCACTAGTGGTATTATAAAGAGAAGGGAGAGTTAAGATTTTAAACAAATAAAGAGGTTGTATTAAATGGGATTCAAACTATTTTCAATTGCCCCCAATGGGGGTATTTATACTAGTAATTAATGAGCTGGTGCAGTAAATGTGTTACACGTGTTGGCTATTCTATGGGAGAAAGCCTTAGGGCGTGGCAGGACTTGATGCGTGTCATTCTCTAAATGGCTTCTAATTAGGTGCTCTCGGTTGGGCGAGGTGACTCTGGTCGAGGTGCAAGGGTGCACCTCGGGTTTGGCGTTGTCCTTGTTCCTGAGCTATTTTCTGGGATCTTTGATCGAGGTGACATCACTGAGGAGATGATCGAGGTGACTGTATGGGCAGTGAACATATTTCTCCATTCTGGACTGGATTTGGTAAAGGGTCCTAGGTAGTGTGTGACGTACAGGCTTGGGCCGTTTAGGTAGTGTTAAGAGTGTGTGGGTCGTGAGTCTGGGCCCAATTACTCTATCAAGAGCCCCCCCTCACTGAGCTGAGAGTCTTCTAAGTGAAAGAGAGTAGAGCTTTTTGACATTGATCGTGTGCTTCAGCGTTAGTTGTTGTTGTTGTCCGAGGTGCTCAATTCGTGGTGCGGGTGACTTCCATGTATCTTTGTTGCACTTTCTTTGTTTGGCTTTTCTCGTAAATTTTGACCGGAGTGTAGTCCCTCAGTCCCCCATTCCTGAAGTGGAGATGACCAACTGGTTTGAGGAGTATAACTCGTGTCAGGACGCCACCTGTTGAACTGGCTCGGGTATCAAATATCTTCGGCGAACCTTGAACAAGGCAACCCTTTGGGAGAATCCTTGAACGAAGGTCGCCGTGTAGTCCTTTAGTCCCCCACTCCTGGGACGAGTTCTGTGGGGCTGGGGTGTTATAGGTGGTATCAGAGCAACCCTGCAATAGTTTGTCGATCTGTTGAATATCGGGAGGGCACGTAACAGGGGAAGATTCTGGGATATGATTGAGATTGAATTGTCTTAGGACGATGTGATCCTAAGTGGGGGTGATTGTAATACTTGAGATCACTTTAAAGGGAATAATAGTACTACTCCAAGTTAAGCGTGCTTACAAGGGAGTAGTCTTGGGATGGGCGACACCCTAAGGAGTTTCTCAGGGCGCGTACGAGTGAGGACAAAGTGTGCGGTAAAAACTTGTGTTTGGTTTGTGATGACACTATTAGAGGGTTGGATGACATTCAAGAGTAACTACCTTGAGCCCTACGGGGTGGGGTGTTACACGCTGGCCATAGACCATCATTGTGGTGCTCAATGTGAGGAGCTAGTCCGGTCCTTTGTTAAGAGAATTCATATCTGAGAGGTTATGTCCATTTGATGTCGGGCTGATGCTTTACCAGTGTGAAGGTGTTGAGGTGCATTTCCTGATGGAACTTTGGTGCATTTGAGCTTCATGTTGTGGTGCGGTTTGCATTGTTAACCGCGACACATCACAAAAGGCATCCTAGGTGACAAATGGCCAGGGTAGATTGGCTGAATGTGGTTGATCGCATCGATTGGACTGAGTGACAACCAACGTGTTGACACGTGTTGTAGACGTTAGGTTGCCATCGTTGCTTTCTCTATAAATACTGTCCTTAGAATTCATTTTCAAATTTTGTTTTCTTGAGAGTAGGATGAAGTGCTGCCAAATTCTAGAGAGAGAAACATTCTTGTTCATTTTCGAATTGCAAGGCTTCTCGATCGGCTCTAGGGCCCTGAAAATTATCAATCAAGAATGATGTTGATTATATCCAAGTACGGAATATGGCCCGAACGGCCGGTGTTCACCAGCGGTTAGATCCCGTTCGGTAACTATCCTGCTCCATAGGATTCTCTTGGGGTTATCCTCTTTTTCGGGCCCTCAAAAAATTTTGGGCCGGATTATTGGGCCGAACCCCAATATCCCAAAAGTAAGCTTTGCTCGTTTAGAATCAAGTCTCCTCCACGGAACATCAAAACTCTACACTTGAGCATAAAATTTGCTCAAGAAATTAACACAATTCACTTAAGAATTTTTACGAAAAGTTGGTGGGCATTCCTATTTAAAAGATAATTTTAATCAAACTATTAGATCATTACTAGTTAAATAGAGTGATGAAAATGTTTCAATCAGATGATCATTACCTTTAATGTTTCAGAATTCAAATTGAGTCAGTTTTGAGAAGAATTTTATAATTATTCAAATAAAGAAGGGAAAATAACTTTTTTTGGGTAAAAAGAGAAAATAACTTTAAATAGTACAAACTGTCTTCCATGAACTAATAATAATACCTACTTTGGAAACAACTTTTAATAATATCAACTATCTAACTATAGACCAAAAGTGATATAGAGCATTTTTCAATGAAAAATCAGTTATTTAAGTCATCAAAAACTAGAATTGAAATATCAAACAAGTGTTTGTATTTCCAAGTATCACGTATTTGATAGCTTGCTATTAGTTTATAATGTCTTAAATGTTTGAATTCTTTGTTGAAAAAGTGACTCCATATTATTTTTGTTTTATATTCAAATAATTGGTATTATTTAAAGTTATTTCTCAATAAGGAAAAAAATGGAAGGAAAAAGCCCAACCAAAAGTGGTTGCAAGGAATTCAAATGGATATATCATAATTAGGTCTAAACTTGTAAAGAATTACGTAGTACTAAAATACGGGGCGTACCAAGGGATGACAATTGTGTCCGACCTATGCAATGGATATCCGCACCGAACTATTCCGGTTAAAACGGGAAAAACCGGTTTGACCGGGTAAGGGCCCGGGGTACGGGGGCGGGGAACACCAGTTTTGTTTTTACGGGTAACGGGGTGGTTACAGTTTTATACATGCCCGCTCCATTACCAGCCCCATACCCGCCCTGTTTATTTTTAGTTATATTTTTTTATTACGTTTTTCTTTATTATTTGTCCCACAACTACTAAAAGATGATTTTTTTTCTATTTTCATTATGTATATGAGATATTATCCAAAATGGGACTAAAAAAGTTTGAAAATTCCAAAATAGGACTTCCATGTTTTTATTCCCAAAATAGGACTAATTACTGTCATGTTTTGGCAGTACCAGACTTCAAACATGGCAGTATTTTCAAAATTTGGCAGTAATTAGTCCTATTTTGGGAATAAAAACATGACAGTCCTATTTTGGAATTTTCGAACTTTTTTAGTCCCATTTCGGGAACTTTCCCTATGTATATATACGGATAATAGACGTATTAACTATATTATATGAATAGGAATTCATAATATATTTTAATGGTCTTGTTTGATTATTATCATATTTTTTCGTGATTAATTATTTATCAGATTAAGTATTTTTAGATTCAAATTCATTTAGGTTGTCTTCTTTCTCGTCTTGTAGATATACATAATTTTAAAGTGGCGTCTGAGTCTAGAGTCGTCTAGGCGATACCATTTTTTGTTTTTAAAAACTTCCCCCGTCTCTTAAAACTTTGTCAACTTTCTTTTTTTTGGATGTCCACTAACTTAGCCACACTCCCTTTTAAGTAAATAATTTGTTGTTCCAGTTAATTCCCTCTCATCTGCACAAACCTCTACCACATAGTTTTTACTTTATTAATCCATGTGCCGATTAAATTGACAAAGTTTTAAGAAACAGAGGGAGTATTATTTTTATATTAAAATATCAATGACTCGTTTAATAAAAACAATTACCCGCGGTTACCCGCAGTTATACGTGTTACCCGTTGGAGCGGTTATGGTTTGAAAAGAATTACACGTTGAATAATGCGGCGGTTATAGGGCGGGGGTTACCCAAGGGGATGTTTTCTTTAGGAGTGAAATTTGCTGGTCTAATCTGGTCTGATCTAGTAAGCGTATGGTCTCTGTATATTTCATAAGGGAAAGTTCCCCAAATGGGACTAAAAATGTTTGAAAATTCCAAAATAGGACTGTCATGTTTTTATTCCCAAAATAGGACTAATTACTGCCAAATTTGGAAAATACTACCATGTTTGAAGTCTGGTACTGCCAAAACATGACAGTAATTAGTCTTATTTTGGGAATAAAAACATGTAAGCCCTATTTTGGAATTTCCCAACTTTTTTAGTCCCATTTTGAGTAATATCTCATTTTATAACTACGAAAATCTGATCTGATCTGGTCTGATATGGAACTGAAAACAATTAAAAAAAAAACATCCTACTAAAACCGTCCCTGATCAGCCCATTGCGGCGTACCTTTTATTTGTGATTTGTCACAGTCGATATCTGGTCTGGACCCACCCTAAGGCGGAAAGTGGATCAACTCACTTCCCCTAAGCATATCGCCGGCGGCGATGGAAACCTCCGTCAGACTGCTCGGCTACTCAAACCGCCAAATCTCCGTCGCTCTCCTCCTCAGAACCCCGTCTCATAGCTCTCCCCCTGAACCTATTCCAACAATTTCACATCGTTGCCATCCAATTTCAACTTCCCGGCTCTCACTATCCATGTACAATGTCCCGCACATTAGCAAACCATGGAAGACATCTTTTACGATCCCCTCGTTCCCAACCTCATCCTCGCTGCTTTCCCATTCTCAACTTCTGAATTCCATAATCTCCTCTGATCTTTTCGCGCGTATTTTTTCGCATCCCCAAGACAAGCTCTTCGACTGGCATTTTGCATCGGACGGAGAAAAGGAGCGGGAAATTTGGAGTCCCGGAAATGACGGGCCTGTGGTGACTGTGGTCTTGCTAGGCTGGCTAGGAGCGAAGCCTAAGCACTTGAGGAGGTACGTGGAGCTGTATAACTCCAAGGGTTTTCATGCTGTCACATTCGTAGCTTCGGTGAGAGATGTACTTTCCTTTGATTTAGCGAGGAAACTCGAGGAGAGGATTGCATCCATGGCTAGTGAGCTCGCATCTTGGCTGTCACATCCAGATAAGGACGGCCGCGAAAGGGTCTTGATCTTCCATACTTTCAGCAACACCGGCTGGCTTGCGTAGGTTGATTTATTGGGCCTTAATTTTGGAAGTACAAGTTGCTTCTAGTTATATTTTTATACCCTGTTTCATCAAAAAGTTACTGCTGCAAGTATATAACTATTATATGAGGATTTTGGGGAGCGAGTAGATGATTATGCTCAACTCTCTAACCTTAATGGGGGAGTTTATAGCATTTGGGATCTTAGCTTTGGATAGTTTGATCTTTTAGATCTTACCTTTTTGCGTTTGTCTCCCGTGCAGATATGGTGCCATTCTTGACAATTTGAGAAGCCAAAAGGATCTACTGGATAAGATCAAGGGATGTGTTGTTGATTCAGGAGGAGACCCGCATATAGAACCTAAGGTTTGTTTCCTTAATTAGAAACTGTATTGTGCAGGTTCCTGTAGCTTACATCATACTCCTTAACAGATGATTCTTGTTTCTCGAAGTCCAAAAGCACATCTGGTCTATTGCTTGTAACTGATAAAAAGAAGAGGATGTATTACACACACACACACTCATACATATATTATATATAAATTTTAAATATTGTGTGCAGATGTGTCTTTTGCATCTTTATAATTATCCATTTTATGCAGTTAAAAATTCGTAGCATTTCATACCCCTTTTGTAGAATTAGTTTATGGGCGTTGAGAAGCACTCTTCAGTCTTTACACTGCTGATATCTTTGGTATAAGAGGTTGGGTGTGTCCTGCTTTCATGAAACTATTTCAACGAACCATAGTCCCACTGAATGATAGATGGCTTGTGAGATAGGTTTGAAGTCCTGAAGGTGTTTCTTTAACCTTGTTTATGCCCATCAATTCCTATGTATGGCAGTAAATTGTTTTCTATGTTAGCGGTTCACAATTGGCTATTAATTTTGTGTAATTGTGTGCTTGAGTTCGAGACATTATAAGTTGTCGAAGTCCATGCAAGTCTTCTTGCTTACCTCATGCATTAAAAGAATAGGAGGTTAGTTCATAAAAAAAGTTGTCACTTTGGACTTTCTGTTCAAGGTACAAGCTGGTGTATCATGTATGTGATAGAAACCAGATTCGGAAACGGAAAAATAGCGTTGATACGAAGTACTGAAACAGAAATACAATCGAGACTCTTCGAGAGGCCTCACTCTCCCAATTCCCAATCCCAATTTTCTGCCTGCCCATCTACTCACCACTCACCCTTATTTATTCTATTTCTAATGGGTCAGCCCACTTCTATTAAGTTACTGGGCCTAAACCCTTTTATTGAACAATATAAAAAAATACTACCTCCGCCCCATAAAGGTTGTCTCATTTCAATTTGGCACGGTTATTAATATAGTGGTTGAAAAGTAAAAGTTGTGGTTGAAATTTGAGTAGAATGAAGTGAAATGATATGGACCACAAATTTCTTACCAAAAAGAGAAACATGACATTCTTTTTTGGACAACCCAAAAAGGAAAGTAAGACAACCAAAATGGGACGGAGAGAGTACTTAATAAGACTCTTATTATTGGTAGTGTCTGAGTTCCTAACATCACTCCCCCATTGACCTTCCACCTTGTCCTCAAGGTGGATGATAAGAGATCGATCCAGTTCATATAGCTGATCATCTGTTCCCTTTCTCTTCTTCTGGCTCTTCCATCAAGACAAATAGATAATGTTTCATTCCACAAGCATGTCTTTTACTCCATTTATCTCCACATTTGAAACACAGACCCTTCTTACTTTTTTCTTCCAGCTCTGGTTGTGACAACCTTTGGCCTCCCTCCCATGTTTGGTTCAGTTTTGGTGCTTCCTTTGTTTTAATATTGGCAGAAACCTTCTCAGTCAGGTTGGTATTATATTGGTCATTTCTCCACTAGCTCCCTTCTATCAGCTGTTGAGGCTTGGATAAAGTCCCCCCTTTTCCTTACATACTCCCTTATCTTCCTCCTTGCTTTCTCTTATTCTCAGAGGCGCATTATTTTCTTCCAGTAATAGAGCACGGTCCATCAGCTCGTTCAAACTCTGTGCAGGATGCAATTTGAGTTCTGCTTTGATGTTGAGTGCAGAAAGATTAAAAACTAACGGGGTAAACCGTTGCCTAGATAATCAACGATATAAATCGTTGCCCAGAGCCCTTATAAACCCTGGCAAGATCAGCGAGAATGAACCCTGGCAAGGGCTATAAATAGCCTTATAAGAGAAAACCCTAATCGAGCCCAAATTAAATAAATCCTAATTAAGCCCATACTAACTCTACTAATAATAGGTCCAAACTAGAAAACAAAACCTAAACTTTATAATAATAAATAAAACTATAACCCTAGCCCACAACCAGCCCACGGAGGTGGGCCCAAGCCCGTTCATGCTCCTTGATCTCTCTGCTCTCTATCAATCTATCCTCCTTTCAAACAACCTTGTCCTCAAGGTTGGAATCCGGAAACTGGCTCACATTTGTCCCCGGGGGCTGCCCAATATCTTTAGGAAAAATTGAGATGTACTCCTTCACAGTCCCTGTCTGCTTGCCCCCGTGTTGCCGTTCAAAGTAATTGCCCTTAAACTGTTAGTCAAAACGAGCCACCATTGCATGTGTAAGCTCATCCCATGACATGCCCGACTTTCGTGCCCGTAACTAGGTCAACCAATATAGGCCTGACCCTTTCATCGTAACTACTACAGCTGCCACCTTTCCCGGTGGAGTACAATTCAATTCGAATTGTTGCTCAGCCCTATCAACCCAGCTGATCAGTTCTCCGTTAAACGATGGCAACGTCGTGAGAAAGGTGCTCCACAGTCCAATTCCGAACGAGGATGCTGTTGCTGGCTGCTGCGTCGAGTGAAGCCACCGCCGTTGAATGCTTCTCGGCCGCTGGCGGCGCGAGAGCCTTTGTGAGCGCAGCCAAGGAGGAAGTGACGTTGCGCGGCTGCCCGTCGCCGCTGTACGCAGATATGGTGGGGCTGCCAACCGCGTCCGAGTTTGTTTCCGTCGTGACTGGCGGAACGAGCGCCTTGGTAACCGCTGCCAGGGATGCGGCAATCTCTGCCAGACGCATGCCGTGCTCCTCTAGGGTTTAATTCATCTGAGTTTGCTCGACCACCATCTCTGTCAAGCGATCGTTCTGAGATCTCGTCATCCTGGCGGGACGGGATCCGACATGTCGGACCAATTGTTGAGAGCAGAAAAATTAAAAATCAATGGGGTAAACCGTTGCCCAGAGCCAAAATGCTGAAATCCAACTTTATTCCAAGACCAACAAGAATGAACCTTGGCAAGGGGTATAAATAGTCTTCTAAGAGAAACTCTAATCGAGTCCAAATTAAATAAATCCTAATTAACCCATACTAACTCTACTAAATACTTTACTAATAATAGGTCCAAATTAGAAAACAATGCCTAAAATTTATAATAATAAATAAAACTATAACCCTAGCCCACAACCAATCCACAGAGGTAGGCCCAAGCTCGTTCCCGCCCCTTGATCTCTCTGCTCTCTATCATTTGATCTCCACCTTTAGGCCATTGATAAAAATGCCTTTAAGCATTTCATTGTCAATGCTTCGGATGGGGGTTACGACCAGCTCGAATTTCTCCCGATATTCCATGACTGATCCTATCTGATTCACGCTAAAAATAGGACCAAAGGGATCTTGCACCATTGCCGGTTGGAACCGTCGAATCACAGCTTCCTTAAAATTTTCCCATGAATGTTCATTGGTCCGTTCCTCCCACCAATGGTACCAGTTTAAAGCTTTCTCTTCCATTGCCACTACCACCATCTCTATTTTCTCAGTCTCCTTAACTTGATTCAACCGGGAAAACCTTTCCACCCTGATGATCCATCCTAATGATCCACCCATGGGCATCTTCCCTGTTAAAAACAAGTAAGTCAACTTTCCTTCCAGTACGAGCATAACACCTATGTACTGCAGGTTCCGAAGTAAAGGACTAAGCGCGAGAATTATTAGAATGACCTCTGGTATGCGATGAGTCCGCACTTTCCTCCCGGCGATGATGTTTAGACACTCGCGACCTTCCTCTTCTCCTATGGCGATCCCGGTGTAGCATCAGATTCTTCAGTTCGGCCACCGTCTCGCGCAAGCCAAGCAGTTCGTTCACGGCAGTCTTCACTTCCGCTAAGGTGTTTTCTAGGTTTTTTACACGTTGCTCCATTCTCGATCGAGTCACGACCATGCGCAGTTATAGCTATCGTCAATTGCTTTGATACCAATGATAGAAACCAAATTTGGAAACAGAAAAATAGCGTTGATACGAAGTACTGAAACGGAAATACAATCAAGACTCTTCGAGAGGCCTCACTCTCCCAATTCCCAATCCCAATTTTCTGCCTGCCCATCTACTCACCACTCACCCTTATTTATTCTATTTCCAATGGGCCAGCCCACTTCTACTAAGTTACTTGGCCTAAACCCTATTATTGAACAATATTAAAAATACTTAACAAGACTCTGATTATTGCCTTATCGGTAGTGTCTGAATTCCTAACAGTATGTCTAAAAATGGAGTTAAGCATATATTCTTCACTCTGTTGTGCTCGTCTTCTTGTGTGGGACACATGGCCCACATGCAATCGATAGGGATACTTTCAATTTTTTGGTACGCTATGGAGTATCATTTCGATGTTTTGACTTCTAGTGAAGCTGAAAGCTGTTTGTTGATGACGACGGCAACAACAACATTGTGCATCTATCTAACCATGCGGGAAAGCGAACTGGTTTTTAGGACCTCTGGTGGAGCTTTTTTTAGTTTATGGTATACTAATATATTATACTCCATCCGTCCCACTATGATTGTCTCATTTTACCTTTTCGGTCCGTCCCACTAAGATTGTCTCATACCTTATTTGGTAAAATTTGTGTGGTTCTAAAGCATTCTTACTTTATTCCTACTTTATCAATTTAATATCAACCGCATAAACCCACTTTTATTAATAACCGTGCCACTTTCTCTTGTCCCAAACTTAGGGGGACGGAGGTAGTAATGTTTTAGCCTTTTAGGGTTGGTTGTTTACTTGTCTCACTGTATAATGTCGTAACACGTTAGTCTTAGACTCCAAGTAGTTAGCCCAGATTAGGCATGGACTCGGGCCGGGTGGCCCGACCCGGAATCGGCCCGAACCGGCACTGTTCGGAACCGGCCCGAACCGGTGGCCCAGCCAAGGACCAGTCCGGGTAGGCCTGGCCCGGTGGTTTTACAGTGCGGGCTCGGGTCACCCAATAGACGAACCGGCCCGGCTGGACCGGGTCCGGTTCCGGGCCTTTTTCTTTTGTTTTTTTTGTTTTCTCAATTTTTTTTATTTTTCTGGGTTGGGTTGGGTGTTTTGGGGTGGGTGGGGGTGAGGGGGGGTCGGGGATTAATTAGAAAAGTAAAAGAAAAATAGGAAGTGTCCTGAGGCCCGGGCCGGTTCCGGTTCACCCATTCTCAAATAAAAGCCCGGCCGGGCCGGGCCCAAGCCCGAACTGGAACCGGCCCGGCCCGAGTCCACCCCTAGCCCAGATGTAAACTTTTTATTATCAATCTTCGTTCTCCGGGTCCTTCTAATTTCCCTTTTACCCCACATTTTCCTTCTAAGCACTCCCTCTGTCCCTCAAAACTTTGTCTGGCACAGAAAATAATAAAGTAAAAACCTTGTGATTGAAATTTGTGTTAGAAGAGAGAGAAATAATAGGAATCACAAATTCATTGATTAAAAGAGAAAGTCTCAAAGTTTTTGGGACAACCAAAAATGGAAAGATCGCAAAGTTATAAGGGACGGATGGAGTTATATATATTTGATGCTTGCTTCAAAGCTATTCTGATATGTGTTTCAATTCTTTTACTATTAATAGATATTTTAAAAGTGGGGTTCTCCTAAATTACTGTTGCCTAATGATTACTAATTGTCTAACATGACTGCCTATCAATAAAATCAATTAGTTAGTGTTCTCTAATCCCTAAACTAGTGTGTATTATGTATGCACACGTAATTATGAATTGTGCTATATCTTAATGGGTTTGTCCATAGCAAACAACTTATTAAAAGTAACTCGATGTCTAATTTTGGCAGGTGTGGGCAGCAGGCTTTACTGCAGCATTGCTAAAGAAGCGTAGCTCTTCTGTATTGCCCGGAGAAGTACATGAGTTGTCACATGGTTCCCCTACAATGCAGGAAAAGAAGCCCTTGTTAATGGAAACATTGCTGTTTGAAGGATTTGAAAGACTCTTCTCATTTCTTCTGAAATTGCCAAGTGAAAACCGGTAAGAACCCAAACAGATCTTCCTTCCAGATGAAGGGGAGAATCTGTGAAACATTTCGAAAAGACAGAAATTTAAAAAGCCTTTTAATTGAACTATTTAATTTTGTGTTGAACAGAAGGTTGGTGAAGATCATATCTACTCTTGTGAATGACCAACCGCCTTGTCCTCAACTTTATCTTTATAGTACTTCAGACAAGGTGATTCCATTTCGGTCTGTTGAGTCGTTCATTGATGAGCAGAGGGGGAGGGGGAGAGAAGTGTTGTCATTCAACTTCAGGACATCTCCCCATGTAGACCACTATCGAACTTTCCCTTCCACTTATGCTTCGCTGCTGCAGAGTTTTCTTGAAAGATGTTTGGTCAAGGTTAAGAAAACATAGTGATCTGTTTAACTACTCGAATATGTCAAATTATATTTGATCTTCGATTTTACAAATTATAATTGTCAAATTGTATTTTTTTTGAAAGGGTCAAATTGTAATTCTTATGTCATAAAATTTTGAATGGAGTGGATTATGCTGAAAATGACATTCAGCCTTGAGACTGATAATTTAGACGAGCGTGCTATTATTATTACTAGTAAACTCACCCATGCGATGCATGGTTTGGAAATTTTTCTTTCAAATTTATGTGTGCTTAGTGATTCAGATCATACTATCAATTGATGACAACATCCAGTGGCGGACACAAAGGGTGGCAAAGGGGGGCTGCCGCCCCTCCAAAAAGAAAAAATTCTAGGTATATTTACCCCAAAATTTATATATATATATATATATATATATATATAGAGTCCTTTTCTTGTCCAGCCGGCCTGACGGGAACCGCCGTCCGGCCGAGGGCATTTCGGGCACTTCCCGATAAAATTGTTTGATGAATTTTTTTGAGCATGTTCTTCATGAAGTCTAGTTTATCCATACCAAATTTCAGCTCAAAATTCGATCGGGAAGGCATTCAAATAATTTTTTGAAGTTGACTGCGTCAAAGTATACATATAAAAACCCAGTCAACTTCAAAAAATTATTTGAATGCCTTCCCGATGGAATTTTGAGCTGAAATTTGGTATGGATAAACTAGACTTGATGAAGAACATGCCCAAAAAATTTCATCAAAAAATTCCATCGGGAAGTGCCCGAAATGCCCTCGGCCGGACGGCGGTTCCCGTCAGGTCGGCTGGACACGAAAAGTTGTCTATATATATATATGTGTGTGTGTGTGATAGAGTATTAATTCTAGAGAGAAGTGAGAGCTAGAGAGAGAAAGTGAGTAATTATATTTCTCAATTGGGAAAAGAATCCCCTATAATTAGCCCCTTGGGGTCTATTTATAGGTAAAAATGTAGATTTGGGCCCCTAGCCTTGGGCTTAGGAGGCCCATTACAATAATCATGCCTTCTTTGGGCGAATAAGGCCACTAATGGGCTGAGTACAACACTTAGTACAAAAAATAGGAAAATACATTCTGCCCGGACGAAGTCCGGACGATGCGGTCCATGGACGATGCGGTCCATGGACGACGCGGTCCATAGACGACGCAGTCCATGGACGACGCGGTCCATGGACGATGCGGTCTATAGAAATCCGGCGATATCTTCTCTCTTGGACGCTACGTGTCTCTGGACGATGCGGGTGTCCCGCTGGTGTCTTTTGGGCCGTTGGGTATGTGGGCCATGGGGTCCAGGCCCATATACTCTATCAGGAGTCCCCCACTCTCTGAGCTGAGGTGAAACCGAAGCGAAAGGGAGTACTTGTTCCTTTCTGGCTGGCCGTTGCGTGAGTCTAAGGCGTTTGATGGCCGAAGAGTTCCTGCTTTGATTTTTTGATGAAGCGTGCTTGGGAACTCATAGCCTTGATGCGGGCCGATGCACACTCTGTGGAAGTGCCTTTGAAGACGAGGCGATGCGCTTTCTTTTTTTTTTGTAGATGTGATGAATTTTGGTGTGGACAAGTCGTCATGTTTTTTATTGTCATCTTGTTGTGGTTGAAGAGCTCCCATCTATCCTTTTGGCCGTAGCGAAGACCCATTCTCATGAGATGAAGATGGTTGATTCTGTTTATGTAGATGATGCGATGCGCACCTTTGTTTTGTTGTGCGGCCGAAGCGTTTTGACTTGTGAGTTTTTGTTATGGTGAGACGATGCGGCCCTCTCAGTGTACGTAGCCGTTGCGTTAGATTTTTTTTTTATCTTGGGGTTCTGATTCCTGGGCTCTGTAGCCGATGCGATCCCCAGTTTTTTTGTTGTCGGAAGCCGTAGCGTGCCCTCTTTGCATTTGAGGCCGTTGCGTTTTCTTTTCTTGTGGCCGATGCAGTCCCCCAGTCCCCCACTCCTTTGGCCGATGAGCATCTGAGGCACAAGGGAGTAATGAACCGATCCGGTACCTATGCGTTAGTCGTGACTCCAACCCTTAGGCGAACCTGTCCAAGGTAACCCTGTGGGAGAACCCTTGGACGAAGGCCGCAATGCCAGGGTTATCATCGACGATGCGCGCACGGCGGCCGTAGCGGTCTATTAAGGTTCCTTGGGTTGCTGTGAGGACGTTGAGTTTAGGCCGATGCGTTCCTTTTTCGGGAGGATGGGCCGATGCCTGTTCTGGAGCTTTGTAGTATTTGGGCCGTAGCGGTATCCAGCCGATACCTTGCCTTTGTAAGGTTGAGTTGGACCGTAGCGATGCCTGTTTGAGTGATTTTGAATTGGTGTCCCCTGATTGGTTGGGAGAAGGGTGGCCGTTGGTGGGGCCAATGGGGTGGCACCACGTGTAGTGACCGTTGGAAGTTTTCTATAAATACCTCCCTATTCCGTAGCCGCTACCCCATTTGCGTTTGCTAGAGTTGAAGTGCTGCTGAGATTTCTAGAGAGATAAAGTGCTTCCAGAAATCTTCAAGTGTTCTTCGGATTTTCACCCACTCCAAGGTTAGGTTCTTGACTTGTTCTCCCTTTTTTCTTTATACTTTGCTTCCTAGGGGGTTAGATCTAGTGTTTCTAGGAAAAATCACTTTGATCCTCGAACAACCCTTAGGACGTAGCATAGTTGTTATGCCGTTCCCTGACGGCCGTAGCGTCCCCTCCCCTCTTAACTTAACAGCTTCTTTAGACGAGTCGGACTGGCCTTTTGACGACGAGGACCCGTCTCCTGGAGTGAATCTTGAGATAGTTCGAGCGTTTGAAACAGAGATGGAGAATACTGCCGATTACCGCACTTCTCAGGACGAGGAGCGTCTGAATGATGACGCGGGTTCCCAACAATCGGGTGAGGACGAGGCGAGCTCGGAACCCAAGCTTCGGGGAGATGAAGCGGGTGATGCCTCTTCGGCCGCCATCCCCTGCCCCCCACCTATTTCGTCTGTGCCGGGTGTGGCGTCGTCTTCTAGGGTTACCAAGGAACGCGCGTCGCGTCGGAGGAAGCCTGCGGCTGGCGGGTTGTCCCAGTTGGACTTGACAAATCTGTATGTCATAAGGCCCGAGGGCACCCGAGGTGATTATCATTTGGCTCAGCTGTATGTTGGGCCTTATGGAAAGGTGAGGGAGCCTAGGCCGACGGACCATGTTCTGGATCCTCCTCCTGGGTACTTCGGGGTTTATCCGATGGGGTTCTCGCAAGGACTACGGTTTCCGCTGCCCCCTTTTGTGATTGAGTACTTGAGGATGGTAGATCTCCCCCCGGCGCTGTTGACGCCGAATAGTTTCTCACTGATCGTCGGGTTCCTCATCCGCTGCGACGAGCTGGGTTTTGAGCCCACGACGGCCCTTTTTACAAATTTGTTCCGGATCGGCCGAGGGAGCCATAAGAATTGTGCTGGTTATGCTACGCTTCAGCAACTTCCGGAGAAGAAATCTTTCAAAGATCTCCCTTCGTCTATCCATGGGTGGAAGGCGAAGTTTGTATTCGTGAAGTTGGCCGATGGGGTTTTCTTTCCTTCGCAAGGGCATAATGGTAATTTTAGCCTGCATAATCCGCCGCGAAGCGCTGAGCTCGATGCCCAAGTTGAGGCATTCCTAAAAGGTGGGCCGAGGAGTGTGAACACGTACATTACTGAGTTTAAGATTGCGGCTCTTGGGATGATGCGGTATTACATTCCTGGCGACCCGGATTGTGGTTTGTGGCCGAAGATCTCTGGCTCTTTTGAACAGGCCGATGGGCCACTTCTAGGGATTCCGGCCGAGGCCGAAGGTTGACACTTGCCTTTGAATCTCTTTGTACTTAGTATTTTTCTTTGCTTCTAACTCTTTTTCCTTTGGTTTCGCCCTTGCAGGTTACGAGATGAGTCGTAAAATGTTCATGGCTCAGGCCAAGAAGCAGGTTGCCAAGGAGTTGGAGGCTGCCCAGCGAGCCGAGGCGTCCAAGGGTTCTGGAGACGGCTCTAGGGGTATTGCTGATGCGGCAAAAAAGCCGGTGGTGAAGAGGAAGAAGACTGCTGAGGGGCAGCGTACTCTTACTGAGGCGGGTCTGGTGCCGGCTGAAGGCGCCAAGAAGACGAAGCCGAACCCTCCTCCCAATGACGCTCCTTTGGCCGACACGCAGGCATCGTTCCAAGGGGGAGCCGCCTCTGATGTGCCCATCATTGAGGATCTGACGTTGAACGTCGCCTCGTCCGCCCTTGCTCCTGCTAAGTCCGGGGCTGCTGCGAAGAAGAGTGCCCGTGCTGACCGAGACCTGACCTCCGGTCTTTATGAGGTGACGGTGCGGTACCCGACCAAGGGCGGGCTTTTTAATGAGAAGGTGTCTGGCCACGACGTCTTGTTCCAGGCCATTCCCGATGCCGACAGGGAGTACCTGCGTCGGCAGAGCAAGGATGTGCGTCTCTTCGACGGCGGGCTGGACTACGTCGTCCAGGTGAGTCCTGACTCTTGTACTTAGTAATATTTTGTATTCCCTTCTTCTTCTAATGTTGCATGCTTCTGCAGGGTGCCTTCATGCTCATGGAGCAGCAGCGGCGGCAGGACGAGGAGCTTGCTCGCCTTCGCGAAGCTGAGAAGAAAGCCGCCTCTGCTGACGAGGCGCTTTCCCAATTGGAGCGGCTCCGGACTGAGACTGCCTCCTTGAAGGAAAAAGCTGATGCGGCGGAGATGAGGGCCGTTGCCGCCGGGGATGAGGCGAAGCGCCTCAAAATTCAGCTTGATGAAGAAGCGGCCGCCCGTCGGCTAGCAGAAGAGAAAGCTGTGCAGCTGGAGGCCGATGCGGCAGCGGCTGCTGATAGAGCCGTTGAGCTCTTCATGGCCGAAGGGTGGAAGGTCGAGACCCGGCGCGACTGGAGTTTTGAGGTCGTGGCGGAGCGCTTCGAGGCGTGGTCTCAGGAGGAAGCTGGCCGAGCCCGCCTGAAAGAGGAGTTTGAAGTCTGGTACGACCTCGGCCAGAGGCGTATGCAGATGTTGGTTTACCGACGCCTCCGCCGTCGCGTTAAGAACCTGAAGCCCAGGGGTATCGGTCTTCCCCGGATAATGAAGGACCCCGAGGAGGAGTTGAAGCTCCCACTGTCCGAGAGGCAACCCCCCATTCTGAGCTCTAGCGAGGAAGACGGGCCCTGGACCGAGAGTGACGACTACCTCTTTCGGAGCTCGGCTAAGTCCAAGAATACCGAGGATGAGCAAGACGATGCGGACAGCGGAGCCGTTGAGGGTGGCCAAGGACAAGCTGCTTAGTGCCTTGTACTTCTTTTTTATATTCATAGTTGTAGCCCCAATGGCCGAAGCGCCCTGGTGTATGTAATGGCCGAAGCGCCCTTTTTGTAATGGCCGAAGCGCCCTCTTTTTGAATTATTAATGATAACACCTTTGTTCAAGTATGAATGTTGTTCCTTGCTTCATTTTCTCTTTTATGTTTGGCGTTTGGTTTGTCAGTGTCGCGTCGTCTTAGTGACATTGCTTTGCAAGTTTTTATCTTGGCGAATTTGCCAAGTCTGAGACGATGTGTTCCATCGTTTCCTTTGTGTTGATGCGGGGGCACCCTCGCCTTACTGGTATGTGTGTGAGGACGTTGCGCGTGTTCCCCTGCATCTGATGTTAGGGACGATGCGCCCCTTCGTCGGAACTGTTGTGTTTAGAACATGTGTTTCAAAAATTTACCAAGTGTTGAAACTTTTTCTTGGCGCGGCGCTACGTCCCTTGCGTCTTAGGTAAGGCATGGCCCCAAAGTTCTGAAATCTTTCTAAGTGCCAAGAGTTTATCTTGTGTCATCCGTCTTCTGAGACGTAGCGGTCCTCTTTCCATTTGTTATCACCGGGGACGCCGTACCTCGTCAACCCTTGGTGTGCTGCTTTCTTTTTGGTGTGTTGCGGACGAAGCGATACCTTTGAATGTGACTGAAAATTTTTCAGTGTCAAACTTGTCTTGATAGAGGTTTTGCCTCGGTTCGCCATTTGGGATTTGTTACTCGGAGACGATGCGCCCCTGTTGCTCAAACATTTGAATGTAGTTTCGTATAACTGAAACCGGAGCGATTCCCTCTTATGAAGCTGTGGTTGAGGCCGAAGCGTGCACCTCGGATTCCTGTTAGGTGAAAACCTGATATGTACTTAGCCGACTTTGAGGCTATGGTTTTTGTGGGGATTTTATTTTTTGCTCGAGGCCGGCGAGTGCGCGGTCCGTCGGCTTCCCTCTTTTTTTTTTGTTTTTTTTTTTTGAGTGTCCGAAGGGTTACTGTCCCTTCGTCCATGTGCGGTAGTTTGTCCGCTACGCTTTTCGCGTGGTTTAGTGCGAGGGAGTAAATACGCCCTCGGCTTGGTGTGTCAGTGGCATCCTTTTTTGCCTTTCCACGTCTATCGGCGACGAGGGACCGGACTAGGCATCGTCTTTTGACGGCCGCCCTTTGTGGTCCTGAGCGAAATTTTACTGACGGGTGGAGTTTTTGTAACCTCAGCCTTAATTCAGGCCTGTCGTCCTGCGGTTTCCGCGCGGACGACGCGGTATGCTTCTCCGTTTGAAGACGTCGGACCATGCACACAGGTCCTTCGTCCTGCATATCGCCGGCCGATTTGGGTGTTTCACCGCTTGTGCCGATACGATATTTAGGTGCGTTGTTTATTGCAACGGCTTTGTAGGCGCGTTGTGGATCGCAACGGCCTTAAGTGCGTTGTGTATTGCAACGGCTTTGGGTGCGTCGTTTATTGCGACGGCTTTAGCCTTTAGGTGCGTCGTTTATTGCGACGGCTTTAGGTGCGTCGTTTATTGCGACGGCTTTAGATGCGTCGTTTATTGCGACGGCTTTAGGTCGCATCGGTCCCGGGTGTTTGCACCGCTTAGGCCGATGCGGTCCTTAGGTTTCCCTTAGCTCAAATCTTAAAAGATTGGGTGAAACATGAATTTTATTCAATAAGTGGCGCTGGGCCGAGGGTGTTTTATTCAACCAATAAGCCGAGGGGTGGGGGACGTTGCCCGCTTCACCACTTCTCGAGTCATTGGTAAAATTTCACCAGGTGGTGTACATTCCACAATCGTGGTACATCTGACCCGTTAGGGTTCTTTAGTCTATAGGTGCCGGCTTTGATGACGGCGCTGATGATGTAGGGCCCTTCATATTTGGCGGCGAGCTTTCCTCCTTCCGTCGGCTTGCTTGCTTCCCTTCGGCGGAGGACGTAGTCCCCCACCTGGAATTCGCGAGAGCGGACCTTGGCGTCGTAGTAGGATTTGACTTGTCGTCTGTAGTTCTCTGCCCGAAGGTAAGCCATCTCCCGTCTTTCATCAATGAGGTGCAAGTCCATCTTCATGGCTTCCTCATTGGCTTCGGGGTCGTATTGTGTGACCCGTCGGCTGGGGAGGGTGACTTCAGTGGGAGCCTTGGCTTCGAAGCCGTAGCACAAGGAGAATGGTGTCTCCCCGGTGGCCCTCCTCGGCGTAGTGCGGTAGGACCATAGGACGTTGGGGAGCTCGTCGACCCAACTTCCGCCTTCTTCTTCGAGTTTCTTCTTTAGCCCCTCCAATATGGTTCTGTTGGCGTTCTCAACTTGCCCGTTGGCCTGAGGGTAGGCAACGGAGGAGAAACGGTGCTTGATATCCCATTCTTGGAGGAGGCTTTGGAACGGTTCGGCCTCAAACTGGGTGCCGTTGTCTGATATGATCTCCTGAGGCACGCCGAAGCGGGTGAGGATGTTCTTGTAGACGAACTTTCGACACCGCGCTCCGGTGATGCTTGCAAGTGGTTCGGCCTCGACCCATTTGGTGAAGTAGTCGATGGCGACGATGATGTATCTGTTGTTGCCCGCGGCTCTTGGTAATGGACCGACGAGGTCGATTCCCCATCTGAAAAATGGGATGGCAGTGCTGACCGGGGCGTAGTTGACGGCCGGCCGACCAGGTGCCCTTTGGTAGTGTTGGCATGCGCTGCATTTGCGGGCGACTTCAGCGCAATCGCGTGCCATCGTCGGCCAGAAGTAGCCTTGGACGACGAGGCGGCGTGACATGCTGAAGGGCCCCTGATGTGATGAGCATACGCCGCAGTGGACTTCTTCCATGGCCACCTCGGCCTCATTCCGGTGGAGGCACCGGAGGAGGGTGCCATTGTATGATCTTTTGTAGAGCTTGTCACCCTCAATGACATAGCTTGGCGCCCTAAGTTTGGCGAGTTTGGCCCTCTCCTCGTCTTCAGGTAGTGTGCCGGAGGCGATGTAGGTTGCGATGTCAGTGATCCAGTCCTCCGGCTGGTGTTGTATGGAGAGTATGGGGCTAGCGTGAATGCTTGACATGCTCAACTCCTCCACCTTAGCTATCTTGGAGATGTGCTCCGGGGTGTCGGAGCTGAGTTTGGAGAGGATGTCGGCCTCGGCGTTCTCCGCCCTTGGGATCTGAGTGATCTCGTAGGTATCGAACGCCTTGAGCAATTCCGCAGCGGCCTCCTTGTATTGCTTCATCCTCCCTTCTTTGGCCTCGTAGGAACCCTCCATCTGGCTCACTACGAGTTTGGAGTCGCATTTGATTCTGACGTGGCGTGCTTTAAGGCCAGCGGCTAGTCTTAGTCCGCTGAGGAGCGCTTCATACTCGGCCTCATTGTTGGATACTTTGAAGTTGAAGCGTATGGCGTAGTATGCTCTGAATCCTTCCGGGGAGATGAGGACGACGCCACCCCCACAGGCTTTGGTGGCCGACGACCCGTCCGTGTAGAGGGTCCAGGCTTCGTCCGATTCAGCTCCTGTGGTGGTAACGGCCGTCTCCCTTGCCGTGCACTCGGTGACGAAATCAGCTAAGGCTTGCCCTTTGATGGATGGCCTCGGCTTGATCTCAATCTGGTACTGGCTCAAGAATATTGCCCACTTGATCATCCTTGGAGAGCTGGTTGGGCTCCTCATGAGGGCTCCCAACGGCTGATGCGTGAGGACGTGGACGGGGTGAGCCTGGAAGTAGTGCCCAAGTTTTTTCACCGTGTGGACGATGGCCAGCACTGTCTTCTCAATGGGGGAGTACCTAAGCTCAGCCTCCCGCAACGTCTTGCTGACGTAGAATATAGCTTTTTGTACCCCGTCATCCTCCCTGATGAGTACAGAGCTGACGGCCGACGTGCTCACTCCTAAGTAAAGGAAGAGAGTCTCGCCGGGTTGGGGCTTGGATAGGACGGGTGGGGAGGCGAGATATTGCTTCAGCTCCTCAAAGGCTTGCTGGCACTCCGTCGTCCATTTGAAGCTGGTGGCCTTCCTCATTATTTGAAAAAAGGGGAGAGACTTCTCAGCGGATTTTGAGAGAAAACGGTTCAGGGCCGCGAGGCGTCCCGTCAGCCGTTGCACCTCCTTTATGTTGCGGGGCGGCTCCATGTTGATAATGGCTTGTATCTTTTCTGGGTTCACCTCGATGCCCCTTCGGCTGACCAGGTACCCCAAGAATTTACCTCCCTGGACGCCGAAGGTGCACTTCTTCGGGTTGAGCCGGAGGTTGTATTTCTTCATGATCTCAAAGATGCCCCGGAGGTCGTCGGCATGAGTTGTGGATTGTTTGCTCTTGACGATCATATCGTCGACGTATGCTTCCATCGTCCGACCTAAGACTGCTCTAAAAATCCGGGCTACCATCCTTGTGTAGGTGGCGCCGGAGTTCTTGAGCCCAAAGGCCATGACGAGGTAGCAAAAAATTCCCTCCGGGGTCATAAAAGCAGTCTTCTCCGCGTCATCTTCGTGCATGGATATCTGGTGGTACCCTCTAAACGCGTCGAGGAACGACATCAACTCGCACCCCGCCGTCTCATCCACCAACTGATCAATGTTGGGGAGAGGGAATGGGTCCATCGGGCACGCCTTGTTCAGGTCAGTGTAATCAACACACATTCTGAACGTGGGCGGTTTTGGTGCGAGGACGACGTTCGCCAACCACGTGGGGTACTTCACCTCTTTTATGTGCTTGATGGAGAGCAGCATGGCCACCTCGGCTTTGACAAATTCCCTCCTGTCGGCTGAGAGGTAGCGCTTCTTCTGCTTGATGGGGGAGGAGGCCGGGTTCACCGATAGCCGATGTGTGATTACCTTCGGGCTGATGCCCGGCATGTCCTCTGGTCCCCATGCGAAGACGATGGCGTACGCTCTCAGGACAGAGAGGATGTCCCTTCGGAACTGTTGGGGGAGCTGTGTCCCAATCTTCAGCGTGCGTTCCGGCCGGGAGACGTCCAACGGAACGTCTTCCACGTCTCCGACCGGTTCAGCCTTCGGCGTGTCTTCTTGGGCCGAGGCGGTGGTGATAGTGTCGATCCGCTCCTCGGCCTCATTGATCTTCCTTGTGAGCTTTAGGTAGCAAGCCCTGGCTATCTTCTGGTTCCCTCTGGCGTA